CCCCAAAACCCCAAAACCCCAAAACCCCTAAGTTCAGTAATAATATAGATTAGTTTATATCCTACGGGGTTATGACAAAGGATTTAAAGCACAGATTAGCTAAGGTAGTACGCTACGGAAGTTATAGGCAGCGAAAGAGCTGTCCCCATATTTTTCATTTGAGTATCGAGTGTTAGAGCAGATTTCTGAGTGCTTTAGTTTGACTGCTTGGAAATGACCTTTCTGTGCTTGATCGCTGTTTACGTGGGGCTCTTGATATATGTTTTCTTTAATTTTGATAAACTTCTCTCTAAAAGTCACCACTTCATACTAGTACCTTTTTGCTCTGTATTGATTATACATATCTTTTCCTCTTCCATCAAGCCGCTTGGATTCCTTTCTATCCAAAGCAGCTGGATCCAATGATAGATTCTGATTATCTCTCTTGGTTCTTCTGTATCTCTTTTGAGCAGAGATTTTAGAAATAAGGGGGAAATTGACTCATACAAGACTCTCTTTTCCCCAGCTCTGATCACGACTAAACAGATTAAACCCCCAATGCTTTTTATTTGAACCCAAATTCTGCTTACTTTTTGGTTCCAACAGTAGACTTCTTAGCTTGGCTAAAACAACTTGGCTTTGAGGGATCATGCTTGAGTTTCATCATCAGCGACTTGATATTCTTAGCGATCATTGCTGGAATCTCATCATTATTTAAGCCTCTAGATAGGGAATAAAAGAATTTGTTGTAAGAAATGGCAGTTTTGAATAGATAAAACATCTCAAATAAATTGATGCATATAAAGATACTACTTCTTTTTACTAAGATTCCAATTATCTAACAAAACTATGTAGCTTCATCCTTATCACCGCTCTCTACGTAGCTTCCCTTTTAGCACTCCTGTGTAGATGTTCTTATACACTTAGAGGCTCATAAGATTGCTGTATCATCAAGAACTTATCAGTAAATATCCAAGATCTGTAGCAACCAGACCTGCAGACATCTTAGCATCTTAAATCAGCTGCAAAAGCCCATTGCCGTTCTTAATAAAAAGTCTGAAAATGACTTACTTTCAAAAGCCCACGACAGGGCTGGCTTGACAAAGGGATGCTGAACTTATGATGAGCTGCAGTTTAGGCAAAAAAAGTACACAGAGAAGTCTTGGTGAGATCAAATGGTAGATGACTGTTCTGGAGCTTGGGACTCCCTATGTGATTATTTGCGGACATTGTACCATTGGGTGAGGTATTTTGGCTACTTTTGAATCGATCGGGTCTGACAATGTCCAAATCTGCAGAAGGATTTGTACCAGAGATTTCCATAGAGGGTTTTGATTGAGGAGGGTAGAGAAATACTCGTCCATTAGAGTTATATCTCTCTTCTGATTTTCTAAATCAACCCTCTTCTCTCTTAGTCAAATCCTTGATGAAAATTTCTTGAGAGATTGTTGAATGGCGCACTAAAATTATGACCTATTTTCTACTTTCGGAGGAGGATTTATACTGACTCGAATTCAGAGCTTTAAACTTATTCTTATGTAAATTCCGCTTAAATTTGCTCTTTATCCTCATTTTCCTTGTATCAAACTTCTTATCAGGTATATTACAAGTGTATTCTAGTGAGCTTCTTGGCTTTTTGCCACTCTGAACTTGAGCTTTTGTGTCTATTGATTTAACACTTCTGTAAATCAGATTATTTGCCACTATAAATCAGATGATTCTCCAACCTGGATTATTTAGGTATTCATCAATGACTGAATTTCCTCTTGTGGTCATTGAATTATTCACAATCGTCTAGGAGATTAGCCAAAATCTTTACATTGCGAATAAAGTCTTTTGGCTTCGTGCACTGATACATTAACAATTTCTGATTCATCTTTGAGCTCTCTGGACTTCCCAAAAACTGTAAAATATGAATAGTGGATTACCTTGAGGGGTATTCGATGATTTAACAATGAAGATTGTATCTTATTTAGCTATCCCACGACTTTTGTTCAACTTTTTGGGCTTCTTTTCGGATATCGATGAGAATCTATAACAACAAAATTTTCACAAAGAGATAATTTCGGGTGAAAGTCCAGACAGTGCTTAAACCTGGTAAACTATTGAGCTTGGAGTAAGAAGAAATCTCTCTACATTTGTTCTAAATCTTCATTCATCTTCTTCAGCCTAGTATTTTTGAATTTGACTGTATTGTTAATCTTCATTTTCAATAATTTTATTCCTAAAAGGGGTTTTGGGGTTTTGGGGTTTTGGGGG